TCAGCAGGACTTTTGCAAGATCAAATGCTTGTTTATTAAGGTTCTGAAAAAAATAAATCAAATTTTAAAGGGTTACAATCTACTTCAGATGACTTTACTTCTCTCTCCCAAACTTAGACCACATTTTCGGAAAGGTATGCTGCACCACAAACTTACTTGTTCTCAAAACTCTCAAAGTTCATTTATGTTAATTACACAACTGCAGACCTACAAAAATCTTAAAACTAGTTTTTCCTTTAAAAATATAACTACACTTATATATACATATATATACACTTTAAAAAAATATCATCACCAGACACATCACTTCTCACCTACTCTAAGACTTTATTGCTCTCGTTGTTACTTTTATTATTGCAGTGATGAATATTAAAAAAAAAGTTCTCATTTAAAAAATTTAAGGTTTTGAAGAAAAATTACCACATCTTCATTCTTTGGTAATTAACATACACCAAATTTGCCATACTGTTGAAAAATGAATTAGCAGAATTTATTATACATTTTATTTAAAGAGGATTTTTTCCTTACATACTCATTAAAGGTACCCCACGAAAAACACCTAAACTTGGGGTACAGTTAGCTGTAAGTAAACATCTGACTGCAACATAACAAATCTCTACACTGTTCTTATTCCTCTCAAGCAAGATAAGGAATGCAAGAGCACATCTGAAAAACATGACTGTCCAAATCTTCACAACATCCCATAGGTAGTATCTCATCTCATCTAGGGATTACTGCAGCTTGAAGGAGAAAAAAAAAAAAAGGAGGGCTGATTAGATGACTGCCCTGAAATTACAAACTATTGCAGAAAAAAATGCAGGTAAAACCTAAGGATGCCTGATGCTCAGAAAGCCAGCATTCAGTAAGTCTACACTGAGAATAACTCTCCCATGTTCTTCTGGCTGATGAGCTGACAACTAGAAAGACAGCTCTCATCAAGGGATAGTAAAGAGAAACAAATGCCCAAAGGCTTGAACAAAGAACTCCCTAGTCACAACAGCATTCAGTTGATGTCTCATGATATAACACATGCAGATACATATAAGCATTTTTTACATTCTTGCTGCCATAGAGCCCGAAACAATTTTTCTCCAAAGTAGACCATGATTAGAACCTTGTTGGCAGGTATGTCCATATTAAACCAAAGGACTGCCAACCTCATTGTTCATACAGAAAAAGGATCTACACCATAACGTCATCAAAGATTTAGTGCTACAAAACATTTTTTTTTCCCATCGCAGATTTCCTTCTTGTATTTGTTATCTATCCAGTGTCTTTAGCAAGAAAGTGCTAGAATGTTGGCTCCAGCTGCAGAATTCAGTTGTGCTGCAAGACCAGGTCCAGTACAATTAACACAGTGATGGACTGTTTTATACAGTCTCACCAGAGCTGAAAATCTGTATAAATAAATAAATAAATAATCAGTCTGGTAGGCAGAATATAAAGCCTTAAAGGTCTGGACTGGCCACGATGTAGTGGATGCAGAAGAAAGCACTGATTTTAAATACATGAAGTATATGTTTTTAAGGGATGACTTTGACAGAGCATGGAAAAAGAGCACTAAATAGACTGAAAGCACTGGTTTTAAAGTTAAAAAGAACTACAGCATGATGTTATGGATCTTCCGAGCAAGATATGATATGCCATACCGCTATTCAAAACCTACACTTACCAGAGGAGAGCCACATTAGCACACACATAGAGAGGAACGATACATAGCAAAGCTACTTTACTGATAACAGAAAAGTACAAATGAATATAATTTAGATGCTGACACAGACTATACTTCATGCCTAGGTACTGGTATATTTCTCCTTTTTTTCATTGCTGTATTGTCTTCTACAACACAAGAGAGTTCAGAAATCTGAAATGGAACAGATTACAGGATCCAAAATATATATTTCAGCTCCTTTACAAAGATGGAACTTCCATTAAATATAATAATTTAGCCAGTTTGATATCTTCATTACGTAATAACAGATAATGGTTACTATTCAATTCTTTTGCATGGACATAAAAGTATGATTATTATATATCCTGTACAAGAAAATAAACTATGCTTTTCATGCTATGTTGTGTCTGATTTACATATCTAAGGACAATTAATATAATCACGGAATTTCCTAGGAGATCTGTGCATGAAAGGAGAACATAATTACTGCAGTCAAACTCTGCCACACAGAGCAGACAAAAGAACTTTCTGATATTTTTAAAACTACCACATGAAGCAGTAGTTTAAGTTCTACTGTCACAGGAAACAAAAAACTCAATACAGAGGCCAAATACTGAGCAAAGAATGATACTGAGCACAGACTACAGAGTATTACTTGCTCAGTCAGGATGGCCAAGAGTCAATGAAGACTGGCCACAGGTGGTCTAAAAGATACAAAAAACTGAGTATATCCCAATATATTTTTCTTTTTTTTCTTAAAGTAGTGTTTATACTAATGTCACGCAGCAACTAGAAACAAATAATTATCTGCAGTCCTAGAAAAACTAAAATTAGTTTTAAAGGAGTCATAAGTGGAAACAGTTATATCCCCTCCTCACTGTGTTGATTAAGGATAGAATTACGGTTATATAGCCTAAGTTACCAATTTCCATATCTGAACATGTTTGAATTCATACTAAACAGGCTCTGAACTTCTTTTGAATAATTAAAAATTATTCTTGAAATAAATATTAACCTCTGTAAAATATTATTCTGTCAAGTTTATCTCCCTTCTTATCAGAGCCTTACGCAAGAATTCCCTTCACTAAGTAAAATTATATTCTTGAACTAACAGTAATTTGCCTACACCAAGTAGTCACAACACACTGTCCTGTTACACAACATTTACCAGGTCTCTGTATCCACACACCAGTGCCCATCATTGTTCATAGCATCACCCAGCACCTGACACTCATCTACTCCCCCTCTTCTTCCACTCTTGATCTCTACTGCCTATATCCTGCTTAGAAACAACTTAAAAAGAGTAGATTTTCATAAGGACTGTTTTCTATTGTTATGAATAAAAGAGGCCCACCCTCCTGCTAACAATTTTAATAGGCCATCATCTCATTGCTATCTATAAAAAGGAGCTGATACAATGGTATTTCCATCTCACGGTCACACATAGAAGAATGCAGAGCACTAAAGGCAACCAAACAAACTGAAAAAATGATTACAATTTAGGTAACAGTTAGGGTTATAAAGAGAAAAGTTTAAAGGCATAAGACACTGGGAAAAAAAACCCCAAGAAACTAGGGTTGTGGAGGGGAGCCTGACCGGCAAGCTGAGGCAAGCTGCAAGTCACCACAGAAGACTTGGTCCACCTCGGTCAAGCCATACTTTTTTTAAAGGAAACCAAAATACTTCCCACCTTTGCAATACAAACAAACTTAAAAGGCTTTTTTATTAGAATACTAGATTTGCTTGAAGATACTTAGTTTCTGTGCGAGTACACAGTTCCCAAGGTGGTAAGTAGATGGAATCTCTTGATACTGTGTAATCTAGATACAGATAAGGACTAGCACCAAGTAATTCCCAAAGAGAACTTTCAATCCACTCTTAAAAGGGTGGAAAAAATAGCAGTTACAAGGGTCTCAAGTGTGTGAAGAGAAAAGCAACACGCAAAATTCAATAAAAGTTACTGTTTTAATAGTATATTGATATCACATTTTACTTTGCAGACCTTGTGTGCAGGAATGAGGTTAATCAGAATGGAGTCCAGCAGCTCCTGAGTTACTCCATCGCCTTCCATGATGATAGAACTCATCAAATCTAGCATATGCATTTGTACCTTCTGGTTGTGACTATTACTAAGAAGATAAAGAACATGCTCATCAATAAATTTTCAGACACGGATAAATACTAACAGTACTGTTAAGAACAAATGGATGAATATCTAACGTTGTTTAGCCTGGAATCACCCATATTCTACACTTTTGAAAACTCAAACCACTTTGACTGTTCTCAGTTATATAAAGCTTCAAAGACCTAGAGCATGCCAGCTTTACTTTAAGAAGAGAAACAAAACAAGGAAACAAGGAACCAATCGTGGGAACACAACTGTAGATAAATGAGTCAGAATGAAGTATAACTTCCTGATGTAAACAAGACACGTACAAAAATCAGTAACAGTCTACTCTTGGAAACACATCCCTCTACAGTGTGAGTAGTTTGCCTTCGTTGCTTTCCTTGAATCTCCTCATTAGCAGAATTGTTCTGTTCAGACCGATACATTTGTACACTATGTAAGGATTCAGTCTACCCCCAAAACTGATGATATTTTGACAGTTTAATATAATTGAAGTAATTCAACTTACTTGATAACTGAAAAAAGAGTCCTAAAAAGCTGAATAAAAATTTCATTGCAATCTTCCAACTCAAAGCAGATGTTGTAAGATTTAACCCAAGCTAAATTCTAAAACAAAAATGGGATATTCAGATTATGGAATTACAACTTTGCATTAAGCCATATAAATATGATTATGCTAATTAAAATGTTGTATTTAAAGAAAAATACTATATAATAGATTGTAAACCCTTTGGGGAAAGAGAATGCATATCTGCTTTGCGTGTATACAGCTCTTAACGCAAAGGGGCTTTGTAATATACATTTAGATGAAAACTAAAGAATAATCTGATTTCACATGAACAAAAGCAAATTGCCAGAATCTGTTACTATAATAAGGCCATACTTCTAGACTCTTATCTTCCTTATGCTATGAAACACTGCAGTTTAAAAAATTAATAAAAAGTTTATAAACAAGATCTTCTGTTTCTGCAAGCACACTGATAAAAACTAAACGTTTTTTGTCAAGAATGGGTTTTTCTAACGTTTTTAAAACCAAAACCTTATAATCCTTCCCCTGTGATCAATATAAGCACATTTGCATTTTAATCAGCAAAGATTGAAATTCTCTCTTGACACGGTAATAACACCTTAAGGGTGCACGATACAAAAAAATGAATACATAAAATTATAAGAGAAAGGCTAAATGTTAATAAACATCAATCATCTTAACCTGTCCTCAACTGTAGGCAGCAGGGACTTATTAAATGCAAACTGAATTATAACAGCTACAGGAAGCAATATATTGAACTTTAACTTGTTTGGTGTAATTGACAGAATAAAAGAAAATTTCCAGGCATATTGCCACATACAAAGAAAGACTGATTACACTTCTTACGTTCACAGGGCAAACATCATCTATTGAAAGTTACAATATGTTACCTCTAACAAGTAAAAGTATCTGTTAAATTGAGGGCTCTTCGTGTCCTCCAAGCCTTTCAATTGTCTTGTAATAAACAAGAATATGTCCTGTTAAACAAAAACAATAAAGCGTTTACAGACTTGATTCAGCAGATTATACAAATACAATCCTTTGTTAATGACATCTACCCACTTTTCCAAACTCATGAAAGTAAAATGCTACATTGTCTTTCACGCGTAGTGACAGAAGTCAGTCACCAATACAGATACAGCTAGGTCTAGCATTCCTTTACAAGAACCACCTTAAAGTACTATCGTGACTCACCGGACTAAAGCAACACCTCCACTAAAACTGAACATCACTATAAACGTGAGTAAAAAAAAAGATTTTTCCACTTTTTTTTTTTTTTAAACATAAAAAGAGAACGAGTTAAGAAGGGCTTTATTTTCTAAAATGTTTTACCTTAAGTTTGTCATGGGAAGTATATGGAGCTTCAGGAGCATAGATTCGAAAGATATCAGCCAAACAACATGCTACAAGAAGGCGCACATCTTTATTGGGATTCCTGAGGAAGAATTCAGATGCAAGGTGCAAGGCTAATGGGAGATACTGCTGTTTCTCATCCTCTGAGTCCTGGTCCATATCCATGAAAGTTTTTACCACCATCTGAAAAATAAAGGAAAAAAAAATTCAAATGCTTCCTGCTTTCATTCCTAAATACTAAACAAGGATTTCTAAAAGTGTGCAACACTATCAATACCTGTTCCACTGCCTAATTACAATATTGTAATTTTTTGGTTAGGACAAAAAGCTGAAAAAAGAAATATTAAACTGATACTGAATGGCTTATTGCACTTGATATTTGAAATTAAGAATGCTGCTTTGCAGCCCTGCATATTTTGCCAATCTTAACCTGAAGTGCAGCACAGAAATTGATACACACTGACAAGTTTGGACACAGCAGCACTTCTGCATCAAAGTAGTCCACAACAAAGTGTGCACTCGCGTCAGTGTGGACAGTCTGAGGGGCTGCAACCCATCACAGTCATCTGGACTAACATACAGGCTGCAGTAAAATGCAGCTGCTTCATTAGCTATACCGGGGTGAGTCTAAGTGGACAGTCTCGCGCTCTGCCTATACCAACTCACAGAGCTCAAGAATTGCTTTACATATGCACAACTCCTTTATCTGGTTTAAATGGACCAGATACTGAACAACGCTTTCATCCCTTATGAAAAACACCTCTGACTCTGCAGATCTTTCTGCATGCTTAAAACTGCATCCATACCCTTATCTATATAATGAACAAAATCAACCGTACATTGTTTCCTTGCTCCTTCTAGCCCAGTGAAAAGCTATTCCTGTGAAATGCCACCATGTTTTTTTAAATTATGTTTTAATTAACCAGGGTGGTATAATCTTAACATAATGATTTGGCAAAACTGGAAGTGAAAACTTAGTTTGAAGAAACAGAAGTTGCAGGTTTAACTTTTGGAATAGGGGTTATTCAGGGACTAGAATGACTCCTAGGATGTTAGCACAGAACTCAGAGCTGTGCCACAGAGTACTTAGTATGACCTCGGTCCAGTCAGTCTTTGTGTCCCGTTTCTTGAGTGTCCTTAGAGTTAAAATTGTGAAGGACAGATATCGAATACCGATAACACTTAAGTATACTTACACACATTAAAGAGAAATACAAAAAAACCCAGACTTATCAGTCTCAACAGGGCAAATATGGCCTGTAGAATATTAATAGTGAAACACAACAACAGACTGAGCTTACACAGCTGATAAACACATTTCTCTTGCTTACTACAGTTCTTTTGTTATTACGTCATTCAAATGAGAATGAGATTGCTCCTCCGTTATTAAGCATGCCACTGCTTCCAACAGGAAAACGCTGTCTTTCAGCTTTACTTCCTCCTCGAGTTTTGGAACCCAGTTTTAAATACAGCTAACCTTGTAAATGAAAATAAATGTTTGACAGCAACTGTCCCAGTATTTAACTATTTAACCCCCCCCCCCCAATTGCTATAAATGTACAAGTTCATCTCCTCATCAAGCAACTTGTAGCAAGGCCAAAATCAAGGTGGGGTGGGGGGGGAGTGGGGAGTGTCAAAAAAAGAAGTTAGTAGCCAGAGCCCATAAACATCCAAATTCTACCTGCATTGGCATTTCCCTAAAAACACTCCGTAACTACACTTAAGAGCATTAGTTGAAAGGGCAAAACCAAAACTCCTACCAAACTTGTTTTCATATCTTTCTACTGACAGCACAGGTCTCTGCGATAGTGTCACAGATCACTTGTCCTTCATAGACACCAGAATAAAAAAAAAAAAAAACAGAAAACAGTCTTCAAAACCATAACAGATTCTTTCAATACAGAAGGTAAAAACTGTTCTTTGTGTCCACTGGTGACAGGACAAGAAATAATGGCTTTTACTTGCAGCACGCGAGAGTCTGCGTTACACATGACAAAAAAAAAATTAGCAGTAACAACTGCTAAGTATTGATTCAGACAACCGTTCCTGAAGGCTTTAAGAACAGGGTAAAAATAACGAAAAGATCTGTGGATCCTACCCTGAGGGCCGACGACAGTGGGACAAGTTTACAGGGTATAGATGTAGTGTAAGATTCCCTTCAGTCTTACTTTTTATTAATTTTAGATATTCAATCAATTACACAATTTGAGATAACCAATCTTTTGATCTTTCCCCATAAGCCTCTCTCCTTGTACTTAAGTTTGCTTCATTATCAGAATATCTTCCTTGATTCAGAACTCCAGGTTCTCATATTCATGCTATACATAAATCTTGCATATTCTTTCTCCATAACTTCATTACACTATACTCCCCGCCAGTCACAGTTTCAGTTCAGTTTCGTTCCACCAGTATCTATGCAGAACACTACCACAAAGATAGCTGCTCAACCTGCTGTTTTGATCTTATCGACTCTCTATGCGCCTTTGGTGGCTTTTCTTTTTCTGACACATCAAACACAGACCAGGAAAGGCAGCATGGTGCCATGAAAACAAAAACAACTTTCTCATTTGCTACCAAAACATTAGGATATTCTGAGATTAGACTAATGAAATTAGCCTTCAGAACTGTCTTATCTGTTTGAAAACACAACGTTCTTATGCGTTTTCCTATGGTGCTCTTACATTTGGAAGGAACTCCCTGCAAATATCCACAAAAACTGATTCTATTTTCCTGCAAAGCAGTCCTTGATATTTCTTTTCTATTACAAAACAACTCCTGGACAGTAATTGGGCCACTGGCAAGCTGCAACAGCTATTTAACACACTGATCTATGTTTTCTTCATTGTTTCTTTTTAGTCCCATATCTGCTTGTATTAATGTGTTGTCTTTTGTTTTATAGTAGACTGTAAGCTCTTTGGTGCATGACGTTCTGTTCATGGCATGCACAAAAATCAAGCAGAAGAGTGTCTTGGTCTTTATCTAAGGATCCTAAATACTAAAACGATAAAAATAAATAACATGATGTGTGGGGTATATAAAATACATAGTACTTTAAAAATAACACAAATAATGAGAGTAATATGTAAACAAACTGTACAGCGCTATATTACGGCAAAAAGCGTTATGTAAATTCTTGCTAATGGTATGACACGTAAGATGCAGGCAAAGGGGAATTAATTTTTTCAAAAGATTTGTATTTAATACATTCTGTATGACACAGTCCATCAAAATAATTCAATACATTTCTTGAACGTACGCATTTAACTATATAATAATCTAACAGGAAAAAAACCCACATCCTGGGAGTACTCCCCATAGCTAAGCGTTGATCCCTATAGGCTGGCACTGATTAAGGTATTATAGAACAGAATTACTTCCAAACTCCTGCTAATCTACATAAGAGATTTATTGTTGAAATAGAAAAAAAGTTCAGACATTATATTTAATGTATGCTTGGCACTTGCACGTTTGCTAGAAAGCCAAGAACCCACTCAAAACTTCACAAATTAAAGGACTGGCCCTCCTGGCCTTAGGCACAACTGAAAAACTAGTTATCAAGCAACAATCAGGAGGGCAACTTGAATCTTTAGTAGTATAAAATACTGTATACTTGATGGAGTCACTTGTCTGTAAAAGAATCGTACACAGTATCCTTGAGTACAACACACTGATTGCCAGTGCTGTTGATTTCCTGGGATATGCTTGCCTTTCTCTCTGTAGCTATCTGTTGTCTTTTGTTTTCTTAATACCTCTCTGAGACAGGAACTACCTTTCCTTCCTTCCCCCATGTTTATTCCATGTCTAATAAAAGCCTTGCTCTAGGACTATAGTTCCTAAATGCCTCCATAATACAAAGAAATAAAAATGACACCATACTGGAGGTTCCTTTCACTTCTTTTCTGTGTTACAGGGACTGCTAGAAATGGATGTGTTAAAAGAATCTGAAAACTGAAAGCTTGGAGTAAATTCTTCACATTCAAAACACTAAAAAATCCAAACAATTTAATTTCCAAAGTTTTTAATAGTTAAAAAAAAAAAAAAAAAAAAAAAGGAAATCACTCATGTAACTATTGACATACATGAATGTGATAATGAGGGAACATGACAAAACAAGTAAGCCTGAAAAATTTAAGACTGCACTTAATATTTAATTAAACCATGTATATCAAAAGAGAGAAAAGAATACAATTGCAGAGGGGAGAGACATGAATTACTACAGCCAGACAATTTCTATTACAACTATTTTTTTCCAATAATCTATATGTTAAGTTATAGGAATTGTTTACTCAAGTTATTTATATTTTAGGTTTTCTATTAAAGTAAACTACATTCAAGATGCCATCTGATCTGTCCTGTCTACCCTTGCAGTAGAGGGTAGTAGTAAATAGTAAAAAAACAAAACAAAACAAATCTTCTCCAGTTCCTCTTGGTATTAAGATTTTTATTCCAAGTCTGAAAGGATTCTCAATTTCCATAAGTTTTGTAAACCGTTATGTAAATCTTCTCTACCAGAGGGAAGTAGTTATTTCAGAGTTCAATATTAATTATTATAGCGCTAAACCAGTTTTCACTCCAGGACTGCTGGAACAGAATAGGAATGCATTGTTTTTCAAATTACAGTAACTAGACCAGTAACTTGTCTAACTGAAGTCTTGAAGTAGAAGCAACCCCAGACAGAGCATTAATACTCATTTATATAAAAACCTAACATTTAGTAGTTTTGACCACAAAAAATTGTTACTGTCTTCCACTGAAAAAAGCAAGAGACAAAATAGCATGATTTTAACATTATTGTAACTTCAAATATTTTGTTCAACAATTTAGCCCCCAGTTTCAACATTAATTTCTAGCAAAGGCAAGCAAATACATCTACTCACATTTAAGATTAAGATTCATTTTATGCTGCTTTAGATTTAATGCATCCCTATTAAATAAATTAAATAATATTGAATAATTACAGGCTGGTACTTTAGTCACCTTCTAAAAATAAGAGTGCTAGAACACTATTACATAAATTTTCATTATTGATATTTTTGCCATAGTTCCTCAAAACTCTAATGATCAGACCAAAATTTCTCACTGCCAGGCTCTGCAAACACGGAAGAGAAGGTGTTCCCATGGCTACAGATACACATGTACTATGCAAACCAGTCACTCTGGGCCACCCTTTACACTCAATTGGG